CGTACGTCATCAACACCTATTAGTTGTATACAGGAACTTCTTGAAGTACGAAGTAGACTGTAAGAAAAAAAACGATTAATGGTACATGTTTGAGAAATGTGTCGATAATTCGTGCGTCGAGCTAAACATGATATTATATTTACATTCACGATTCTGATAAATAAAATCTCTGAGAATTAATTGTTTTATACAGAAACATTAGCATAATGTTTGTTGGCCGAGCAAAATAGAATACTTGTCACAAACGTGTGTATATTTTTCTAATATATGTTTGTTAAGCCATATAATACATGTGGGTTACTATTCCCAGCTGCAACCGCTTTGCCGACACTTCGTGACGTCGTTCGACACTTGCATAAACTATATTATTTACATATTATTGGGAATTAACATATAAGTAGACTTACGTCATTATATTGATTTCATTTTTGAACATCTTCCTTGCGCTTACTTTCTCCGACGCAGTGGTTGGTGGCTTATGGTGTTTTATTGCCACCAAATGACCTTTGACCTTGGCCAGATGGATATTCGCGAAATTACCTTCGCCAATCTTCTTATCCATCTGGATTCGGTCAAGGTCAAAATTAACCACTGGCCGAGTGGCAGCTGAAAAGAAAAAGAAAATGACAGTACTTTGTCAGTAATTGTAGTTTATCTTGTTGTTAATAATGACGTAATCGCTAGGTTTGTTATGTGGATTGCCATGTTGTGTGGTGGCGCACTTTACGTGTGCATAAGCTGTGAAAAGGCCACCACAAGATATGATTATTGTCTGGATATTAATGGAGTCTTTATTTTGTTGCTATAAAATAAAATATAATGAATCTACCTGGCACAGGAAGATGCTCAATTATGTTTGGTGATTCTACTATTATCATAGCAGTTTTTGTGGGCGTCTTCTTTGTTTCTACAGAGTCACCTTCAGATGAAGGTACAGTCAGCGATAAATCTGCAAAATGTCCAAGAGAATTAAAATACTGCTTTAAATATCAATTGATAACAGAAAACCATCCTATACGTAAATACTTTGAACTGTGTCACACTACAACAAACCTCCATCAGTTATTATATCTATTAGTCAGAGCTTTCACTTATTCATTAGATACATATGTTGTGTTAACCAGGAGATGGACAATACTCACTTCTTTTTTTCTTCAGCTCTTCCAACCTCTTCCTCTTTTCCTTCAAGGCATCCCTGGCGGATAATACTGCAAGATACAAACGACCAGAATCAGTCTAATATGTCTAGAAGTACGTCGGGCAAGCATGTACTGACTGTTTATGACTAGTGTATGACTATCGAAAATCGAACGGTGATATATATTGAGTCTATTGTTTTATTGTGTTTCATATTCTCATTTATGATGTATATGTATGATATATATATAAGTGTGATGTCTTATCTAAAGTCACGTGACAAAATAAGTTAATCCAAATATCAAGCATAAATCAGTAAGAATGGACATCATGACTGAGAATATGAAACACAATAAAACAATAGACTCATTTTTACATACTTCCAGCAGGGGCCTTGCTTGCCGGAGGAAGAGGTTCCATTGTGAAACTTGAATTACAAGTGTTTGTACTAACGACAACACTTGAAGTGCTGGTCTTGACTGGCTCTATATAAGGCGGAAAACAAATAACATGATAAGACAAAGTGGTATGTAGTAAAATTTAATGCACATATATAACAATGACATGCCTATATATTAGTGTCACATGAACACATATTTCCCAAACTTCCAAATTATAATCGCCAATAATGACTATTATAATTACGCACCTCTCTTTATGCGCAATTCCTGCAACCTCTTCCTCTTTTGATCTAAAATATCTCTGTGAGACGGTTCTGCAAAGCAATATGAGAATGTTTAGGTGTATTTTTGGTAACAAGGGACATATATTCACGAGTGCGACAAACAAAAAAGGTTTCACATAAATGTATAACTTACTT